GGAAAACTGGGAGGTTGGGAGGGTCATATGGTTCACAGAGCTGCCTTTTGCGTTTGCTTAGCCGGCTATGGCCCTCTTTGAATTGATGTCCAAAGCTCTAAGAACCAAATCAAGAATTCAGAAGGACACATGTTCAGTCCTGACTACTGAGAGGAAAACCACATAAGCTGTCCGCCTAATACTGTTCACGAGCATCATGTCTTTAATACCACACAACGCTAATGTCACCGATGAGGTTTGAACACACTCCACATTAAATTTGCATGTACACCATACTGTTTTTTGCAGTCTTATCTCATCAAAAATAATGTTCTTTCTGAGTGGATCGTAAAGTCCTTTGTTCAAAATAATAACAAAGAATGTTAACATAGAGAGTAATTGCTTATAATGCTATTATTTGCCATATATTGCCATCCAATGCCATTTTACTCATTGACATATAAGAGGAGGAAAAGAGAGTAAAGTGTGTGTGTGTATGTGTGCTGCCTGTATCAGTACAGTGGGGCATACATCTACCCTGGGATAGTATGTCATCGATTGAGCTGCAGGAAGAGGCCTATTATCTCCAGCCATGGTTCAAGCGGGGGAGTCAAGTGTGTCATATGTGTTGGCTCTAATTGGCATCCCATCTTGGTGGAGGATGACTGGAGGTGAAGGCAGATCTGCACTAACCCAGCCACCTTCTGCTCTCGCACACGCGCCTCCTCTGAAAACTGGTTGTTCAGTTTCAAGGTTTACGATCGTTATTTTTTACCTGGGATGATTGGGAAGTTCCATATGTATGAACGAATCAACGGCCAATGTTGTATGCAAACATCACACTGACCAGTGCAGGGTTCATACCAGAGTCCTGATGCGTGGTAATTCTTTTTACGAAGCCTTTATGTCTGTTATTGTGAAATAATCTTTCAGAGTCTGTATTTTTCTGTCAAATTGTTTCATTGTGAGTCTTTTTTGTTTTGTTTCCCCCCCCCCTGTTAATCATCTTTATAACCCACCCTCTGTGTCATTATGTGTTGTGCTTTTTAAATAGAAATAAAGTCTTTAAAGTTGTCTCAGCTTTAGCTGATAACTACTGTGATCTACTACTGCCCCCTGCAGGAATAGAAACCCAAAGTATTTACTGAGCAGAGGGAATGCAAGAGAAAAAAAACCAGTCACTGGGAAAATGAACAAAATGCTTTTGGCTTCATAGGATATGCACAAATGTTCTTATTCAGATTATCTTAAATTGTTTGTCACATTCTTTTGCATTTATGTCTCTCATTTACTATTTTTGGACTTAACTCAGTTCAGACAAATACTAAACTTTCACAAAGGTTTAAAGATAACTATCACAGACTAGTTTTTGGCTGGGATTATTTAGTTAAGAAACAGAAGTCATCCTGAAAGTGGAGTAAAAAAAGGCTATAAAACAGAAGTAGAAGATGAACTAGACAGGTCTGTCATGAAAAAAGTCTATTAAACTCTATTAGCTTTGAGGTTTTGATTAACGTATGACATTACAATCACAAAATCCAACAAAGACATCAAAGATTTATGTCCATGTGTTTGGCCACTATACCTGCCACAGGCTGCCGTGAAGTAGAGTTAAAACTAGCTCCAGGTTTCCTCTTCCTCCCTCCACTATTCATCATCAACACTGCAGCAGCCTGCCTGGTGAGCCAGACAGCTACAAGGTTGGTTCTTATTTCCCAATCAGTGGGGTTCCCGTGCAGCCACCTGTGTGTTCAGAGGAGTGTTGCATCACGACCTGAACTGCAGCCTCAAATCACAGCTTGATTTCTACCCAGTCAATGATTATTGTATATGCCCCATCACAAAATCAAAGAGGAGCTCAGGTTGAAGAAGGAGAGGTAATTGGACCTGCACAATTAGCCGAAGCCTGTGGGTCAAACATTTTTTTAGTATAATCAAAAATAACTTTGTCTGTCCAAGTTTTTGGCTTGTCTTTTAATAAAAATGGTTATGACCTAATTTCACATGACACAAAAAAGGTCAATTAATTTATTCTTTAATTTAATTGTATTCATTTCCTATACCCTCTTATCTTTCCTAAGCTATACTTGGTCCTTAAAATTCCTTATACTTAACATCACTTTTACTTTCACTCCATTTGATGCCTTGAAAACTGCATGTATCCTTTTTTTCAGGGAACAGATGTGCCTTCTTGGAATAGATCATGTCAGAGTGACAGGTTTTCGACACCCTGCCATCTTTTTATTTGTCTGTCCTTTAATTTCATACATCGCGTGTCAACGTGAGGCCGGGGTGGGCGGTCACTCGGCCAGCAGTGGGCAGCAGAGTGCTTCCTCTGAATCTTCAACAGTTTTGAACGTACTTAAACTTTAAACTGAACATCAGCTTTGGGTTTGAATAAACACGAGAAGCTCACTTCAACCCATTTTTAAGAAAAGATAGGTTTCAAGTTTAAGGGAGGGGGCTGTTGAATGAAGTGAAAAAGTGGCTCATGCCAACTGCCTTTGACTCAAATGACAGAGACAGGTGCAGTAAAACCCGTCCTTTGTACCAGATCTCTCATACGCACAGTTATACACGCTGACACGAGAAAGCATGCAAACGCCCACTCAATACCCACAGTCACCCTGCCAACATGCCCAGGTCCTTTTTTATTTTTTTTCCTGCTTGCTTTTGCTACACAATCATAATTGGCCGCCACAGCATCTGTGACTCTATTTGAAACTAAATATGAACATTTTCTTATGACCCATGAGGGTAATAGTTTTCAATGTAAAAATCTGCCAAATTAGAGTCTTAAAATGAATTCAAATAATTTGCTTTCTTTTCAGGGGCCTACAAAGACCTTTGAAAGACTTTAAAAGAAACTGTTTTGAGAGTGGAAGATGGCATGAAGCGATCCGAACCACATTTTCTCCCTCTATTCATCCCATAACTCACATAACATGTCTTCCATCTATCTTGGAAAATAACAAACACTTTGTGCAGAAGATGTGGTTTCACAGGACACTCATAGGGCTACATCGATCATGATAGCCTTTCAGTCAAATTTTCAGCATCTCTGAAATGGCAATCTCCGCTTTGACATCCCCCGTAGAGCACCATAGATCTTCATCCTCTGTTTTGACAGAGTGTTCAAAATAGCTTGAGATGAAAGGGTTCTGGCTGAATGTCGTGAATGCGCGAGGGCACGACACACACACGCGGTAGATGGAGAGGTTACATATGCAGCCTTCCAGCACGAAGCCCAAGCTGGGCCACCTTTAAAGAGGCGTGTGCTGCTGTCAGCAGAGTTTGCTCAGAGTTGAAGTAGTTTTACCTGCTTTTCCTGGTGTCAAAGCAGCAAAGAATGGCTATGAAGTTTGCAGGAGTTGATCATGTTTTGTTGTTATCAATGCACTTCTTTTTTTTTTGTCATTGCTCATGGTAGGGATGTCAGTTCTGAAAAACTATCTAAATTTGGTTTAATCTGCCTTCCAGCACCTCAAAGCTCTATACAAAGTCAGATTAACTGTTTCTGTAGATAAAACTGAAATATGTCCAAATATGATTATTCTGCCAATGAAATCTTATCAAAATAATCAATAATGAAAATCAATCTTTCCGAGTTTATTCAAAGTACATGTAAAATTTCATGTTCTGTGTTTTGTTCCCAGGCAGAAATTGATTTCTGAATGATTTTGTTTGAAGACACGGAGTCAAGAGAGATGGGAAGGTTAACCGAAAAGAAGACCGAAAGGAGGACTGAGAAACAGATATAAGGAAAGCTGAATAGAATTTAAATGTAGTCAAAGTAATGTGGTGTTCAGTCCGGATGAGTTCCAGTTACACACTCACTTCACTTTCTCTGCATGAAAAATGTTACACGCCAATGTTTGCTTTGTCAAAAATTCTGCAAAACTGTCAACCATTTATAAATTACACAATTTAAACAACAGAAATGTTAAAAAGCACCTGTAAGGATGTCGGAGGGGCGGATGGTGGTGTTACACAATGGACTGTCACACAAAAACCATGTCTGAGCCCCATCTGATCTGAAAGCTGCTGGATAAGACACAACAGACAACAAATCTTCTCACAGTTGTTCTTGTAAAAACCATCAATGTGGACAAACGCACCTGCTATGGATGAGTATGGATGAGAACATTTCAGCTAAATGAATGTCTTGTATGAGTTACTGCCAGATGACCTGAATATCATCATCCATCAGAGCTTTGGACTTCCTTTGGCCTCGGGTTTTTCTCAAAGTTTTTTTGGAACAGATGTATGGGCCCTGAGTAATTCTGTTCTATATGTTCGGTCATGTGTTAATCTTTTTCGTGTAAAAGGAATGTGACATCTTTCAAAAATTTCCTATGCATTTCAGCAGGTAAACCAACAGAACATGATATCCTGTGAACCTCAGAGAACATTACATATTTTAAGACATTGAGGCAGTTTCATACTGCCTGGTTCCTTGTTTTTGTTGTTTTGTTTTTCGTCCAGACTGCATTGACCACACAGCTTTGTTATAAACCATTTATTGATCTGTGCATCCAGAGTCTAATTGAGATATCGAAGCTGCTTTTGTCACTGAATCGTGAACTACTTCTTTCCCATCTTTTGATTTTTCTATAAGTAGGAAAATTGTTTTTTTTAAAGGTTTCTGTCCTTGCTCACTGTTTCGGTCCTGGCCACCGGCAGCTGCACTGCTTCTCTCTTTATGTCTCTCCCTCTTCCACCGGCCCTGTGAGTGACAGCACATGTGTTGGAGTTCATAGGAGGCCTGTTGCTGAAATTCTAACCCCACTTACCCCGCGACTGTGAGACATACCCCAGCAATGGACAGGGCGGAGCTGTGAGAGACAGATGCTGGGAGAGGAAAGGAGGGAGAGAGACACTCACAGGAGGGACAGACTGCGGGAGGAGAAAGAGAAGGAGAAAGAAAAGTCAACTTGGAAAATTGGGGCTTTTTTTGCACAGAAAAACCCACCGGGGAGCCACAGATCTTCCAGTGGTCAGAGAGTTTTAGAGCGCAGATAATGAGGATGGGGACGCGGATGTTGCTGGTGTCTGCCCTGGCTGCTCTGTTTTGTCAGGTAAGAAAAATCAATGTCTTTTCATGGCTGCTGTGGTCTGTTATGAGCCAAGTGTGGAAGTTTTTTCAAGATTTCATTGTTTTATTAAAGTAATTTCCAGCACGAGCAGTATAGAGCACAGCTGTCGGAGGTACTTTCCTCGCCACTTTCTAATCACAATGAATGTCAGTAACAAATAGAGAGCCAACACGGTGAACTGGTCACTGCAAAGAGACTCCACCACGTGACACCGCTGCCCTCTCTTCCCATCTTTTGGATTTCAGTATATCTGTTTCCCGCAGAGCGGGATCTTGTTTAGAAAAAGGGCCTTTAGCTTCCCCGCTCTTCAAATATACAATTTATATTCCTCACCTGAGTGATGTCCTTAATCAGACTTCTACTTTCCGTCCTCAGCCCAAGCACCGGTGTGGCTCTGCAATCAGAGCTTATGGTTGATCTAAACACTTCACCTATGATGGAGAGGGGATGGTAAAATGTTAGAAGGAGGACCGGACCACAGATGTGCTAAAAAAAAAGGGCTCAGGGCATGGTTAGTAGCCCATGTAGCAGACATCTCTCTGAGATCTACAACGGATGACAATATAAACTGACTTATTACCAACAGCGTTTCCAAATATCATCAGTCTTTTTCTCTCTGTTTAACGTACTAATGCAGCCCAGGTTGGGCAGATGACTGAGTTGGCCCACTGAAGCTGTAAAAATTTGTCTTGTAACTGACTACTTGTTAGACAAGCTTTTGAACTAAGGAAATGAATGATTGTGATCTGTTGATGAAGTTTCCCTTGCCTTTACAGTGATTTGTGTTGATTTTGTGGCTCTTCAGATTGAGAAAAAGGAAATCCTGCTTTGAAAATGGGTGTGATGGGCCAACGATGCAAACATAGGATAAACTACTTGTGAGGAGGGTTCATATCCTGTGATATTTCTAACAGTTCTTCGTAAATATAGCCTTTGGTATAAACAAAAATGATAAGTCCTTTCAATTATTTGAAAACCTGGTAAACCCTGATTGCGACCTTTCAGGTGCAGGAATCAGGTCTCCGGGACTCATGCAGATATAGGACAACATAAGCTCTGTGTGGTGGGCCTGAAATGAGGTTACATTCCTCATTTAAATGCCAGCAGCCTTACAAGTCAAAGTCTCTCTGACTATGTTAATGCGAGGCTACAAGTAAGTATGAAGCTGGTCAAAAATCATTCTTATTTCTTTGCAAATAATCACCATCCTGTAGGGTAATTAGTTCATTTTAGTGCTTGGAGAGGCAGACACAGTCTGGATTGAAATAGACACAATGAATTCCAGGAGCTGGACAGTGACATTAAAGAAAAAGTCAGCTACTCTGTGCTCACAACAATTTATTCATCCATGGCCAGACTCCAAATTCTACCCTCCATAAAAGTTACTGACACAGGTTATTGGACTTACTCTTGTTTAAAAATGAGCTGTTGCTTTCTCTGTAAGTACAGCTTTTATCCAGGTGTCTCATGTTCAAATCTCATGTTCTCATGAGACCTCATGTCCATAATAAGGCCCCTGCATAGTTATACTTTTGTCTCTCAGTTACTGCATAGCGATTCACAGGTTGGATGTTGGGCATCCCCACTGCGTTCTTTCTCAGTTTTAGTTCTGCAGAAAAACTAATCGATTTTTTAAAAGACGTTTAGTGAATAAAAAAGTCTAAAAAAATTCAGTTGGCCTAACCTTTAGCAGCTGTTAGCCGACTGACGCTTTCAGGAGCGTTACCTGATATCTTTCAGTTGTGCTCGTTTAATTTTCTATGTTTAAACCAAAGTGTTGGAGCCGGTTGGGTGTATGTTGTGGTGATGAGTGGGCAGCAGGCACAGCTGTTCCCAGATGCATACGTGAAGCCATTTGTCCCGCTCTTTAATCCCCCCCTTGTGGAAAGAGGAGTGGGTGCTGGACCATGAAATCAAGTACAAATCAAGAGTGTGTAGCAGCGGCCAGCTGGCGGCGAGGTCTCACTCATTGAAAACAATCAGTCAGAGAAGTTAAAGTCTGCATCAGAGGTCCCGCATGGCGGGGGTCCCTGCAGACTGTTTTACACTGTGGGGGGATGGGTTCAAAGACACAACTTCCTGGTTTCAAAGAAAACTGTCCAGTGACAGCGAGTGATTGAGAGGTTCCACTCAAAACCAAACCGACATCAACTTCAGGACAAGGAGGCCGACATTTGTCCCATTGTAATGTCATAAGAGCAAGTTGTTTTAAAAAGATTTGTTAGTCCTAACTGCACTATGTAAAACATTCAAACAACGCTTGTGTGCGCCCCTCAAACACTGATACAATTTCAATTTGATAATGTTGATGTTGAACTTCTGCTTGAAGGAAATTTTAGGAAACAGTGTTTTAATTTCAAATGATAAGTGTCAAGAGTCAACCTTTAATATTGGTTTAAAGAGACTATGGAAAACGCATCTAACACACAAGATAACTTTTCTGACATTTCTTTCTTTCACAAAACAATTGTTCTGACGAACGTATTTGACAAAAATGCTATGTTAATGATCATTATTTACTAAATCACCTCTTTACTTTATGTTGTTTTGTCGGCTTTTTGTCTTTGAGAAGTCCATATTTAGTCCTTCATTGATCTCAAAGGTGTATCTGGCCTTTTCCAAAAACCGAGACATCTGTTGAAAGGAGGAGACAAGCTTATTATGGCACCATGAACACTGTCCATGCCAATGTCAGCTAGTCATGACTTGGCAAAGAGTTGCTAATGGGGGCTTATGGGGCCAGTACTGCAGATGACTAATCGGTCAGTACCCGAGTAGCAGTAACAGAACAGACCAGTGACGCACCTGTCTGACCTCTGTCCCACGTCTGAGGGGACGGACTGGCATGCTGTTTTCACCCGTTACTAGCGGCTCCTTTTTTCATTTTTGAGCTATTTGCATGACCATTGAACAGACGCACAGACATCTGAAGCTGAGAAACAAATACACACAGCTTATAGAAAATAATGAGACTTATTCAAATGTAATTTCTGTTGTCAAAAACATTGTTCAGTGATCAGCAAACCTTGATAAATAGATCCGTAATTTTCCCTAAATTGTAGTACAAAGTAAACCTTTGCTACTTGTAAAGCAATCTATATGGATTCTAAACACCAATAAAAGTGATGATTCATCTTTCTTTTTTTTAGCAACATTCATTTGCATTACCTCATCAGAACCAACGCAGCTCATAGTTATGCTGGAAAGAACTGCACAGTTTTGTGAAAGTGCATCAAAGGAATAATGCATTTGCACCAGTAGCCGTGCCGGGAAGGTAAACCATCTGACTGCTTTGTGAAGGAATGTCTAAAACTGAATGCATTAGTAACAGTGGCAAAGCATGGAGAGCAATTTCATGCTTACAGTTTTACACATGTTTGAGTAAAGTTGATATTTAAACCATACACATCTCATCTCTTATTAACTTTGAAATGTACCAGGCAAGTCATTGGCACCACAAATCACAGTGTTTCCTATAAGACGATATAATGTTTCATGTTTATTATCCTTTTCACGTTAGTTTTTCATGTTGTATTTGCATCTACTTCCTAAATTTCATTCACCAAATCCCATTTTGTGTTTAAGAAGTAAAAATACTAAATGTAGTTCAACAGACAGTGAAGAGTTTCTCAAACTTGGCAAATGTTGCCTGTGAGCGGAGAGGTGAACAGTTATTGCTTTAAAGACATTTCATCCTCAGACGAGCTGTGGATACTTCTGAGAGAGTCCGAGGTGAAAGGCCAAGCTGTAAAAGAATCAGAGAAAAACCCCTAAAACAGTTCATCTGTGTGTTGTGTCGTCGCCCAGCCTGTCAGAGAGGGCCCTCAGTGGTCTAATTGGTAACGTGACACTTTGGTGTTACTGCATCTTGGTCTGGTAAAAACATTACAACAGTGTGTGGGGATGCTCAGTGGAACCACCGTCTATGACTGGTGATGTAGAGTGTGTGAGAAGGAAGTGTTCAAATGTGCAAACTGTCTGATTTGCAGAGTCTGGTGCTTGTTTTCAAACTGCTGTAAAAGTTATAGCAGGTGTGAATCAAAGAAAATGTGCGTCAAACATGGGAAACCAATTTCCCAAACAGCCGTGTGCACTCGTTGGAGGGTTGCCCAAATTCATTCAAACATGGTGAGTCTGTTTTTATTCTTACAACATGCAGCTCATCAATCATTTGTGCCATTTATGGATCACAAGTATCAGGGCATGCCCGAAGTAACCATCGTTTAGTGAAATATATCAAAATGAAACATAGTTTTTACAAAGACTTCACAACCAGCGAAACTGACTGTTAAATCCTAATTGTCATGTTTTTTCTGTGTTTCATTTTCCTGTTCTTCCTCTGTCCTCGTGGGTTTTCTCTACTTTCATCGCTCATGTAAGCGAACTGGCTGACAACGTTGGTCTGTATACCATTGGTTTTGATTTTGATGGCTTTTGGCAGGCTTGAGATGAAATTTGGCACAGATATTCAAAAACCCCAGAGGATAAGCTGCGCTGCCTTTCCATCGGTGTCTTTTGAGATTTGCATTTACTTTAAAATGGAATGTCTCAACCAAAGCTGTTTTCGCACATGTACTGTCGCTCAGAAAATTTCAAGATGTTACCCAAGGGGGGCCTTGCGTGTGAGAACACAAGTGTCAAACTAAGTCAGATCGCACAAAGTTTGGAGTTTACCCCTCCATCACCCTGGTATAACGTTCAGGTGAGGCATGAAGCAGTTGTCCAGGGAATCTGCTGTGTGTGACTTCATTTCCTGCTTCGCTCTATACTTTGTTTGCCTGTACCGGTTTTCATATTCTCATCAATACCACTGATATATGCTGTAATGAATAACGTCAAATGATCTTTTCTTAAAGGCATTCATAACCAAGACTTCTTTCTTTTTCTCTTTTACAGTTGTTTTCCCTGTTTTGTTTCAGAGCCAGCGCCATGCTCAACAGTGGTGCTTCTTTTTTTAACTGAGAATAACTTACATTGACACTCCCTAACCCTCCATAGCAGCTTGCTGTGTGCGCATTCTCGAAGTCAGACAAATGTGCCCATACCAGCTTCAATGTTCACAAATCAGGCAAACTTAGAAGGTGCTATTTTTAGAAATACGACCGAGACACAGCTGTTATTGACTTTAAGGTCAAGTAACAACCCAGAAAATGCGGCAAAGGTTTTAGAATCCATAGGATGCCGGGGAGTTAGATATGGAAGTGAATGACTATTGGGACAAATCTGTGAGGGTGACATGCAAAGACTCAAATGTGAGTGTAAACATCCGAGTGTGGCTGGTGATGGCGACAGAAATGAAAGAGGAGGGAGTCAGGAATATAGAAGAGTCTAAGATTAGCATGGCCCCTGACTTGCCTTGGAGATGCCAGCAATTGTTGCCATTGCTCCCTGTACTGTCATGCCAGAGGGTCGGTACAGCATACAACGTGCTGCAGAAACAGTCCTGGACCAGGGATACCAGGCCATTCAGAATATGCACGCCATTTCTTCTTTTGCCCAAAATATTAAGTGCTGGGCAGAAGGCTTGAGACTTAAAAGGTTTTTACCATAATCTTTTAAAATAACATTAATCAAAAACTAGTCCCCCAGGCTTTCAAAGGTTTTTTTTTCAGCCACTTAATTTTGACCTATGCATCATTCAAGAATATGAAAATTGGCATTTAATTCAAAGAGTGAAGCAGTGTGGTGTCAAGCAAAGAATCAATTTAAACTGTACTGTTGGGCACTTTGCTCTTAGCGGTCTCTCACCAAGACTAATCATTTGTTCTGTGCTTTGGTTGCATCTTTGACAATGCAGCAATAACACAGTTTGAAAGGCATGAAATATCCTTTTTGCACCAATAAAGAGATTGTAGTTTCAAACTATATTAACATGAGGTGTGTCCTAAAAGCATCTGAGGGAACTGAATAACTGGTTGACAAAAGAGGCAGCGGCAGGCCTAAGAAAATACCTACAGCACACTGTACTCGAAAGCTATATCCGGAAGGGAAAAAAAGAATTGAAATACAGCAAAGACATGACAAATGACCTGAGAGATACATCTGACCCTTCAGCTGATCCATCTACTGTTCACTGAAGCCTCATCACAAACGGTCTCTATGGAAAATTGTCTGTCAAAAAGCCATTCCCAAGAAAGGGAAACGGGGGGGATGTGTGCCAAATGGCAGAAGAACTGGACTGAAACTCAGTCAGAACAGATCCTATAGAGTGATGAATCCTCCCCCGAGCATGGACCTGCTCAACATTATTGAAGCGGTGTGGGATCATCTTGACAGAGAGCAGAGCAAAAGGCAGTCAACATCCAAAGAACAACTTCAGGATGTCTTTCAAGAAACCATGAAAGCTATTCCTCTAACATTACTTTACTCTGAGACATTTGAAGCTGTCGATTAATAGGACTGCTCAGAGCAACTTTCGACTTTTCAAGCTTGTTGCCATTTTACAATCCCTGTTTTAGGAGTGAACGGTGTATTTCACATTCTTTTGGCTCAAGTGCTTTGCATATTTTACTTTTCTTTAAACATTCAGATAAATGAGGGCTGGCTTGAGACAGCTGCACAGCACTGTGCATCTAATAAAATGGGTTAATCATCTATATTTGGTTACATGTGAGTGAAAACACACAGGCGAGTTAAGTGCTCTGGCTCTGTGGTTTATGCCTTTGAGTTAATAAACATATGAAAAGTAATGCTGACTCTATTGAAATCCCAGAGAAGAGCAGGAAGCAACCAAAGGAAATGTGTACGTAAGCCTGTGCGTGGGTGTGTGATTTGTCCTCTCGCATGCATATATGAGAGCCCGTGTTCAGTGTGTGAGAAACCGTGCTTGTGAGTGTGTTTGTGGAATTTGAACAGCGGAGCAGATCCGTAAGGTGACCCCAAACTCCCAGTCAGGTGCAGGGCTGAGCATAAAGGGGAATTTGTGAGTGTGGATGGGAACGTGGGGTGGGAAAGCACAGGATCTAAATCCATAGTCGACAGCTGTTGTGTGAGTGTGTGTGTCTCACATGGGATGTGTGTGCAAGTGTATTTGTGTGACCACATTCAAGACAGCCATGTGATGACGGAGGGCTTTTGAAATGAGCGTGACTGTTTGCGTTTCCTCGTCCTGACGTGAATTTGCACCCGTATCAAAGGCGGCTGACAAAGACGCATATTAGTGAGTGAAACCTGAAGCTGCCAAATTTCCCCCCCCCGACCAGGTCCAAAGGCTCCGCGTTTGTTACCCTCAGTGCTGGAGTTAGCATGTAGCTGCTCCAGCTGGCCACTGGGAATTTCAAAGCACTGAGGGACACAAAACAGCTGCAGCTCCATGCAATCGTATCATGTTTGTCCACCATGAGACTGACTTACAGGAGTTTAAAAATGCATTGCATGGGAGCTAAATAACAGCCAAACATTTTTCCCCTCAGGCGTGGAGTCCTGCAGAATCTCACATCACTGAGGTAGAATTGCACCCTCGGTTGCTTCACCCCTGGAGAAATCAAGGCAAAGGGGTTGTAAGAGTGAAGAGAGACTGGATCATACCCCCAATCCGAGTGTTGGAGAATAGTAAGCAGGTTCCCGAAGACCTTGTCCAGGTAAAAAATGTCCACCAACAGTGCTGCTGTAGATATTTGTCACGCATGTTGGTATTCAAAGCACAACTTCCCCCTTTTTTGAGTCTGGTATAAAACAGTCTCCTGTAGTCTACTGGAACATGTTTCCCTTCCTGTAATCAATCTTCTTGTTCCAAGATTAATGTCATAATGAGCAATGGGATAATGAGCAATCCTCTGTGTGGGATATATCAAAAAGAAAGAAACCTGAGTATAATAGCTTCTTTCACCAACTCTCCCCTTTCCCCGTATACTTTCTTCAAACTTGAACATATTTATTATGCATCTTTTACAGACCACCCTACGGCTTTTGTAGAAAAAGTCATTCTAACTTTTTTCAGTAAAACGGGCAAAAACAGCTCACACCCTAAATTTTCTGTTTCTTTTGGTGAGTTTGAGCTCTGTAGGGTCACATGATGTTTAGGCTTGAGCATGGAAACCGTCTGAATTCCCCACAGTACTGTTTCACACATCTGACAATCGTTCTGTCCGTAGCAGTGGTCCCAAAGGCTCATTGGTGATGTGGTGGTCAGATCTGTGCGCCCTGTCCAACGGGCAGCCAAAAAATCCCATCGAACTCTAAGAGTTACTTAGTTTTATTTGCTGTTCCTGAGGATTGAGTCCTCTGTATATAGAGGCTTAAAGAGGTGATGACTGGGGTGTATTTAAACTTTGCTCTTGGACAGACAGCAGTGTTTAAAGAACACATGAAATATAAATATTATGTAAAGTTGTTAGAACCTTCTAGAAAGTGCATGTGTCCTTCTGTGCGAGAAAAAAAAAACACAACTCCTTTTTGTAAAAGCGATGTCCATGTTAAACAAGCAAAATGTCAAAGAGAGTGATAGCAAATACTTAAAACACCCCTTACTATTATTAGTTCAGGTTCTTAAAGGCCACTCTGAGCTTAAACAATCAGGACTCAAGGTCCCTCTTTTCACATCTGGCGTTAAAGCCCTTGTTTTGCTATACTCCCCATGCCATTCCTCAAGACCGATCACTTCTCCTTGTCTGTTTTTCTCAGATCAAATCAGACAAAACTTTTTCGGGTGAGGTGATCTACAAACTTGAAGGGCCGGGGGTTGACCTAGACCCCAAAAATCTCTTTGAGATCGATGATAAAACGGGGATAATCAGAAGCAAGCGGCCACTGGACAGAGAGAAACACAACAGCTTCACGGTAAGACGTCGTTAAAGAAGCATCAGGCCGAGGTGCCCAGCACGAGCTGCAGCGCTCGCAGAGCAAACGTGCACGTGTTTCAAAGCATACCTCTGTGTTTCTGTCTTAAATCATCCATCACCGTGTCACACACCAGCACAATCAGCCAGAGGTCAATGTTCCAGAGCATTTATGGGTACCCTGGGAGAGACGTCAAAGTGTTTCATGGATGAACATTATGCTCTTTTTTTTTTTCTCCCGGCACATGTCGGGTACACGCATGCCACGTATACCTGTAGTCAGTCAGAGCAGATTGTTAGATCAGACCTTAATGTGAACTTTACAAATAGTTTCAGTGGTCCGCTTTATAATTCTAAAACTCTTCTTGCTTTGTGTGTTTGTTTGTGTGTACATGCAGCTTAAAGCCTTTGCGTTGTCCCCCAGTGGAGAGAGGCTGGAGAACCCCACCACCATCGAGATAGTGGTGCTGGATCAGAACGACAACAGACCTGCTTTCACTCAGAGCCAGTTTGTTGGGACCGTTCCAGAGTTTTCGATTCCAGGTAGAGCCGTGTATTACATGTCGACATGCTTATCTTTTTCATGCACAGCATTGTGTTTAAAGAGCCGTTTTCATTGTCCTTCCTCAAATCCTTTCAAAGCTGTAAAGAGGACATTTAGGTGTCACACATAAACCATATCATACCGTTTGTGTCTGGGAGAGAGGGTTGTTTTATATAAATAACCGATGTAAATGTAACTGTTCTGTTATAAATGTCAGAAGTGAAACACAATAACCACATATGATCAGAAAGTTTTCATAAGTGGTGTTGCATACTATTCCCACAATCCAATACCCTTATCAGGACTTTACTGCTTGTTAAAGGAGAAACTTGAGAATAACATCTGCTAAAATGGGGAGACATTTATATGACTTTATAGAATGCTGTATAGTTTGAGTAAGCAACCAGATAATCTTGTAATACATCAAAACATCTTATGGACATGAATAACACAGTTATTTTCAGTGGGGCAGGACATGAAAACAAGCTCATTTAGTCAAGAACCAAGTAGCACACAGGCAGTTTTTCCCTCCTGAGTCACATGTGATTGACTCTGAAACTTTCTATTATCACTAACAGGCACATCAGTGATGTCGGTGTCAGCCGTAGATGTAGATGACCCAATGACGGACAACGCTGCCCTGAGCTACTCGATCGTTGGACAGGAGAGTATCCCTGCCAACGCTGTGACCAAGACTATGTTTGGTATCAACAACCAGACAGGGGCCATCTACACAAGAGATGTAGGCCTGGATCGAGAGGTAAGCAAGATCGCCATTTTTGCAAACCATACTGGTTTGGTTCTTTATATTGTAACACTCTGTGTTCTGTCACAGGTGGTGAAGGGTTTCAGGCTAAAGCTGCAGGTTGCTGATATGGGGGGCATGGGATTAACCAGTGAAGGTCTGGCAGTCATCCATGTGTCTGACATCAACAACCACGCTCCACAGTTCAGTCCCGCCTCGGTGAGTCGTAGACGGCGATTTGCGAGGGGCGCTTTGAGCCGTTAAGCAAACTATACAGGTTGAATATTGCATTGGTCTAAATCCTCTGATCTGTGCCATCAGTACCACGTGTCAGCGCAGGAGAACGGATTCAACTATGAGATCGGTCGAGTGAATGTGACAGACAGAGACGATCCCGGAACGGGAAACTGGGAGGCCAGATATTCCATCTCCAATGACCCCGACCACAACTTTGCCATCAGAACAGATCCTGCCACCAACCAGGGAGTTCTGACTGTGGTGAAGGTACAGTGGAAGCAGAAGTCATTTTCTGACACCTTGAAAATGTAAAAACTATTTGCATTTAGTTGAAAAATCACTAATTATCAAGAATGTCCCCTATGATGTTTGTAGCTGTGATTTTTTTTAAACCTTAAGAGAGGAAAACATTATCATTAATTTTTAAACTCTTAAAGTATCCATTTTACAACCATTCTAAATATTTTGCATTCATCATATTAATTCTCTATCAAAATAAGTATATTATTAAGGAATATGTTTGTTTAAACTTTTTCATGTAATCAACCACCTTTATGTCAAATATGAGATCTGAAATTCATTCAGTTTATAGCTGGCCTACTTCAGAAGTAAATTACGTGTAATTGTATTTGCTTTGAGGTTGCTTTCAGTCTGAATTTAACGCTGCCATCTAGTGGTGTAGTTTTGAACCATGAACCTTTATATTCATGCAATTCTTTAGGGCATTTTCTTATCAAACGGATTGAATATATGTGATTATGATGTGTAATTTTTTTTTCTTTGTGCCTTCATTGCAGCCCCTGGATTACGAAACACAAAAAGAGCACCTTCTGACACTGAGTGTGGAAAATGTGCTTCCTCTGAGCAACAAAGCCCCTAACCTCCCCCCGAGCACCGCTAAATTGTTGGTCACTGTTGTGAACAGGAACGAGCGTCCGTATTTTAGTGAGGATCCCATAAAGTTTGAGGTGCCCGAGTCTGTGCTTCCGTCAACAATACTTACAAGGATAGCTGCCTCAGACCCAGACAATTTTGAACTGAGGTATGATATAAGGCTTGAAGATATGGTATAATGTCTGAAGAGTTTTTCTATTCTCCCAAAAGAGTATAAAAAAGCTGGTGTTTTTATCTTCTGCGTGTGTGGTAGATATGAAATTAGCAAAGATCCTGAGATGTGGCTGGAGATTGATGAAGAGACTGGGGTCATTAGAGCCAGAAGAACCTTCAACATGAGATCTCCCTATGTTAGAAACAACATCTACCAGGCTGTTGTCAAAGTTACAGGTGAGTCCTTCATTTCAGTTACCTTTAACACCTGGCTCGTCACTGTGGTTCACTTTTAAGTGGAAACAAAGAAAAATCTAATGTAGACATGTTTTCTGCTTGCATTGCTTTTCCTTTAGAACAGTTAGGGTGATAGCCTCGTTCCAGTTATCTGATTTTCACACACCTTTTAAGTAGAAGAGAACCAAAATCAACAGACTCATCCAAGTGGTATGCATAGATATTTATGTACAGCATTTATTCATTTATGAAAGTAATTCTTTGTAGTAACTAAAAAAGAGCTTTCTGTATCTGGTGTTAAACAGAAGGCTCCACTGAACTGTTATGAAAAATTAAAAATGAAAAGACGTTTTTATGCAGAAAAGCGTTTTTGTTAATTTCCTCAAATGAACATACATGTTTTAGATCTTGTTGTGTATCTTTAAAGATACACTCTACACACACCAAAGTCCTGAAGTTTTTCTTTTAGAATCTAGCATCTTTTTTTGTTTTGTGTCTGAATTTTTCAAAATTGGGCCCAAATCATGCCCTACTGTGTTTAACAGATTTATAGCAGTGTTTTTTGTTTAAAAACATAGAGCTTTTTATTTTAGCCAAAAAAAAAAACAATATCACTGTCAAACCTCCAAAAACATGTTACGGAGACCAGACTTTGATTTGAAATCTATAGACATCACTAACTTTCACGCAATCATTGGAAAGATGAAGTTTTGAAGAGCCTGAAACTGAATGTGTTGTTGTGCCATTTTGTGTATGTGCTCAAATTTCTAGATGGTGGTGGCCTGTCGACAACTGCCACATTGGCTATGAGACTCAGAGAGACAAATGACTTCCCCCCTCAACTGTTCCCTCTAAGTGGCTCCGTATGCAGACATGTCACCAGCTCTACGCCTGGCCTCTATCTGACTGCGGTGGACGAAGACCGCCCGCCGCACGCAGCACCTTTCTTTTTCAAAATTGCCGATGATAACATGTTGGCTAACTGGACTGTGAATCCAATCAATGGTGAGGGAAAAAAATCCCTTGCGCATGGCCCGAAGTTACATGAAGGAGGCTTTTGTCGCTCTACAGATAGCATATCTTCTCTCCATTTTGTCTTCTCCAGATACCCATGCTGTGCTGCTGCCCAGTGCAGAGCTGGGACCTGGGGAGTACGCGGTCACTGTGTTGGTCAAGGACGCCGGCAGCCCACCTCTGAGCTCTTACTCTCAGGTCAACATCACCGTGTGTCTCTGTGACTCTCACGGTGACTGTAAGTCCGAGGTGGGGGCTTTCTTAGGCTCCAGCGTGGGAATCAGCTTCATCGCTCTCATGATCATCATGGCCTGTGTTGGACTCTTACTATGTGAGTAACAACATATCTATCTTTTGATGTCTTTTTCAAAAGAGTAAAGACACCTTCACCTTAAATATAGCACAGCTCAAGATATTTTGACCTAAAAAAACAGTCATTAAAAACAAAAATAAAGCTAAGTGTATGAGTTATTATCATATCAGAGAAAAATAGGCATACTGAACTGATGTGTATTTGCAGTGCTGCTGGTCCTGGCTGTGGCTTTGACCACCTGTGGAAGACGGCACCATATAAAGAAGGGAACAGGGCTGCTCGTTGGGGAATCGGAAGACGACATCCGTGACAACGTCTTCAACTACGACGAGCAAGGAGGTGGTGAAGAGGACGAGGTAAGACTCAAATGTTGGGTAAATGTTTTATATGTCAATGTAAAACCATGAGGACAGAAACAAGTGATTGTCAGGGTTATTGTGTTTTCTTTGTCTGCTTATCATCAGCGTTATATCCAACTAGCTCAAACTCCTCTCCCTGTGCAGAACGCCTTTAACATCGACCTGCTGTGGAACCCCCATGATGCACCGTCCACACCGCGGTCCTTCTATCCAGGGTCTGGCGTTCCTCGAGGAAAGCAGCCCCTGAGGAGGGATGCTCCACACAACCTGCCCTCACCCACCTACCCTCGGAGACCACCCGCCGACCCCACAGACATCGAGGACTACATCAACGATGTGAGAGGCTCCTTCTGTGACGATTTGTTACATTTACAACAACAACAGAAACTGCAGATCTCCAAATGTTTGAACAGAGAAGCACTCTGAATTGTATGGGCAATAGTATAATCACTGTCAGACTTTAAATTTAGCAAAACACCCAGAACTGTTTAATCAATTGGTGTATTTTTATATACTGTTAAAGGAGGGTTAAGGTCAGGGTCAGAAATGAGCTTTTTAAGGTCTCAAACAGCCCCTTAAATCACATGGAACAACAGAATATCACTGACAAAAAATACGATTTAGATATGATTACCCAAATACACTCAGTTGTGACAAACTATATAAAAAGTAACATGTTTTGTGATCCACATATTCTACATAATGCAACACTTTTGATCAGAAGAAGGTAACCAATACTATTCCAGTTATTTGAATGGATAGGGATGACATCATAAATTTGTGAGTTTTTATATTTTCTCATATTTAATCTAATGTTAGATATATATTATTTTTTCTATTCATATCGAACATTTCTGGTTTGATAAAGCTCAACAGAATTCGCAGTACATTTGCTTCTCAACTTAAAGTGGACTCATGTTCATTCACTCAGGGCCTGGAGGCTGCTGACAATGACCCGAACGTGCCTCCCTACGACACGGCGTTGATCTACGACTACGAGGGAGACGGCTCGGTGGCTGGCAGCCTCAGCTCCATTGCTTCGGGCAGCTCGGACGGAGATCAGGACTATGACTACCTCAACGACTGGGGACCACGCTTTCAGAAACTGGCCAACATGTATGGGACGTGTTAGAGTGGATACGGCACAACACAAACTAGACTTGTGAGGTTCAGCAGTTGTTTAGGCCGCTGTTGTTGTTTTTGTTTGTTTCTGGACGAAATAGAAAATATTGCCTGTCCAGCCAAAAATTGGAAGTGTTCAGAGGAAAAGTAGATGCAACCAAAATGGAAGTTTTGAACTTAAGTTGAAGGTGTCTTAGGTTTAATTGATCTGGACACAACTTACAAAGTAGCTCAAAGCAGTTTGTGGTTAGCCCAAGAAAAGTTAGTTAGAAAGCTCTTTTATGACATGATCATCTTTGAAGAAAGAGCTGTGCTAAGAGGCAAAAAGTGTGTTGAAATGTCTGTACAGGTCCAGAGACTTGGACAACTCAGGAATGATGCACACAACAAGCATAAGATAAAATAGGAAAAAAATTATGTATTTCATTTTTTTTTACAAAAGTGATTGTTTTATAAGATTTCTGTTATTAGATTTGTGTTTTTTCTATTGCAAATCCTCCATTCCGGTATCTATTGATCTTTGTGGAAGCCATCTCAGCACTAAACACACTGTATTTTAATAATCGACATACATTTTTGGAGGTTAAGACTGTATTTTTTTTATTTTACATATGTTCATTGAATTAAGATTTTACTGTTGACTAAAAAGTAAATGATTACTTCTCTTCATACCGTGACTCATCTGGTTGCATTTACATACAATCCCAGCACACACGCACATAAAATAAAGGGAATTAGTTTTTTAAATACAACTTTATTTAAATATTTTACATCATCCTTTCAGAGCATTTCAGTCCCTTGCAGGGCTTTTTTAAAAGGATAATTCTTCACAAATGATTCCACCATCTTGCTAGAAGTCACAATTATCTTTAATATGCAATCAAACAAAAATTGGTTTCTATGGGGGAAAAAAATCACAAATGACAATCAATGAGGCAAGATATGTCTTCATTGGTTGAGTGAGAGCGTTTAGCAGCAGGACCAGAACAGGCGATAAATCAAGGCACGTGTATGTTAGATAACAACTTCTGCCCAACACCAGTTCCTCCCCTTTGCCATTTCCCCTCCATTTTTAAGGGGTGTGACACCCATTTTTCTTTGAGGGATTTCTTGACCCAAGGTGTCTCAGATTTGTTTGGGTCTTGCACTGGTACATAAAACTAGAAAAATGTCTATGAATTTTAGCCCAATAGCAAAACAAACTTCTGGATTCAAAATTTAGTTGCACATCTAATTTACTTGTATAAAAAAAAACACTGCATAAAGTTTCTCTCACTGTACTGTAAAATGAAAAATTCAAAACTCCAAACCCAACTGTTTGATTACAAGAGCAAAGAAAAATGCGTAACTCCACAGGAACCACAGCATGAAAATATAAAGTAACATCTGCGGCTCGCTCAACAAAACGATGCACATTTTTACATTTTTTCCCTGGAGGAATATCTAATGATGTTAAATGTATTCTCCTCAGTTAGGAGGAGCAGCAGAAGTCTTCCTAAAAGCCTCTGCTCCTACAACACATCCACAGCAACCCACAGAGCTCTTCTAGTTTCATGTGCTGCTTGCACAGAATTCATGATTTAACATGTCTGTGTACACACTGGCTCATCCAGATCAGCACGAATTAAATGTTGTTCCGAGCTGGTTTAACTGTGATTTGAAGCTGTTAATAAACTCATTTGCTTTAATGTCACTTGCAGATGTTGTCAAATAGCAGCTCCCCAAAGACAAGCTTGATTCCAAGCATGCATTTACTGGATCACATTTGCATGAAAATGATGACAGGCTCGCATTGTGTAAATGTTTACTGTATATACAGTAAGTGCTGAATGAAGGGCATTTCTCAAACATCTGCCTTTCTTGTGTGTTTCACAGACATTTGGATGGGCTACCTTTGCTTTGTGTGCTACCATAGCATAATATGGCTTAGCAGGGAGAACGTGAGGAAAATAAAAATCTTTCATCCCACACTCCTTTAAGTTAAAGTAGTCACAGAGGTGAACCAAAAGGAGCCACTGCGTATAAAGCCTTTTGGTTTCTCTGGCAGGAGCTTAAACCTTCAAAGTGAGGACTAAGTCCCAGGTTTTTAAAACATTTCCAGCCTTTGGAGGCGTCACAAAATCAAACCAGCTGAGGATCTACATCCTCCTCTCTCCGTTTGCGAGGGGGTGGAGGTTCATCCTCCCCTGTGTCCTGCTTGTCCTTTTCAGCTTCAATCCAGCTCTGTGGGAGGATCATCTTCTTGGGGCCATGGGGTGGTGGACCCAACAGGGCCTCAATGTCATCGTAGTTCACCACCTCCCGCTCCAACAGAGAGTTGGCCAACTGGAAAGATGGACCCAACCACTTATGAAACATGATGCAAAAGGATGGTTCTCGACATGCTAAAATTCATAACGGCAAAAAAAAATCCCTCAAAGAAGGAAACAACTGACCAGCACCAGCTTGTCCCTGTTGTCCAGCAGCAGCTTTTCTGTGTGTCGGTATGCACGGGCTATCAATATCTTAGCCTCCTGAAAGAGCAGACAGAAGGACTCAATTGTGTATGAAAACAGCAGTAAAGAGGACAAACAATTAATGCATTTGGGTGACGGCCAAAGCTTGTGAGATCAACATTCGCAGCCAGCTATTCTGAGAGCAGAGAACTAATCCGGTATTAAAACCCACATGATCCATCTGTTGCTGCAGGCCTTGGCTGAAAGGACGCCGTCCAACGGCACCCTGCTCCTCTGTCTCTGGAAAGGAGACCTGTCCCACACTGTCGCACATCCCATACTGCTTCACCATGGAGTAGGCCACACGGGTCACCTTGCGCAGGTCATCTTGAGCTCCTGGAGAGACAGAAGGACGAGGCCTCACTTTGTGCTTTTGACCTAACTCACAGCACGAGCCAGGTGTGGCAAACGCTCTGAGAGCAATCAGCAGGAGAAGTCCTGCGGTCATATGCAAGTCAGCAGCCTGCGGTTAGGGTAAAAACACGGCGGACCGAAGGTACCTGTGGTAACCTTGTTAAAGGTGATGGCCTCTGCGGCTCTTCCCCCCAAAGCCATACACATGCGCTCAAACAACTGGTCCTTCGTGAACAGGTACTGGTCACGGGGTAACATCTGAGCAAACCCCAGGGCTGCATTTGTCCTTGGGGCAATTGATACCTGAAAAACATATTAGACTATGAACCATTTACTATTATTCAAAACCAATCTCTACAACTGTCTGTATTATCCTTAGTATACCTCAAATTATCCTTTCCAAGATTCCATAATAATGTTTTTCAAATTTTTACAATGTTTGTGACACTACCAGCCTGTGTGGTAATCTACAACCATCAACTCAGTTCTCCTGTTTAACATCATCAGAATGAGGGACTTGGGTTGATGTTTAACTCAAAACTGGGCCCCCGAATTAGTCAATGTTGCTTTGAGTTTCTAATTCTTTATTGTCTCTAATGGGCCGACAACTTTCTGAAATCTAATTATAGGAGACATCCAATTACATCCCAGAGTTCATTAGATATGTGAATGTGTTACCTTCATCACTGCCTCTGTGTGCTCCAGCAGCCATCCCACCAAGGCGTGCCCAGACTCGTGGAAGGCTACCACCCTCTGCTCTTCTTTAGACAGGATCTTACTCTTCTTCACACTCCCTGGAGACATGCACATGCAGGCAGATGTGTCAGAATTTGAAAGTGTGGCATGTAAGAGAAGTGAAATGTTCCGGTTTCCCGCGGCAAAGCGCCTGCATCCCTGTACCTGCTATGACGCGCTCCACTGCATACTCAAAGTTGAAAGTATCGATGGACTTGAAACCCTCTCTGGCAGCATGCAGAGCAGCTTCGTTGCAAATGTTGGCAATGTCTGCACCTGTGGGAGCAGAGTGAGTATCGATTTTTCATTCCACACACGGCGAACCCAAGTGGAGTTAAACAAAGACGTGGTGTTGTTTGTGTACATATTCGACAACAGATTGAGTATCAAGCTTCTAAATTTTAGGATCTATGTGAAAATCTGACATGGTAAATGACATTCTGGTGGAAGAATACTTGATTTTTTCGTGGTTAGACAAGTTTTAGGTACCAAAACATTGTTTAATTTTAATACAGCTGCAAATTTCCACTAATTAAAAAAATCCAGCTGTACCACTAAAGCCTGGCGTGAGCTCAGCCAGCCGCAGAGAGTAGAAATTGGCAGGTTGGGTCAACTTCAGGATCTTCAGATGCTGCTCGAAGATCTCCTTCCTCTCCTGAAAGACATAATAGAAAAATATTGAACTAGATTCAACTGTTAAGTCAAACCAGGTAAGCAGGATTTAGTCACACTGAAGCATGAAGCCAGTCATAATCAATTATTTCAAGTACAACGTCATGAAAGTGAATAAAAACTACCTGCAAAGTTGGCAGATCTATGAAAATATGCCTGTCCAACCTGCCTGGTCTCATTAGCGCATTGTCTAAGATATCTGCTCTGTTAGTTGAGGCAAGGACAATCACATGGTCTGTTGTTCCCATTCCTGCCAAAGAAGAAGATTACATAGATTCACCACTTTGTCTGACAAGTCAACGAACCGCTCTAAGATGTTTTGGTTTTACGCACCATCCATCTCCACCAGCAGCTGGTTGAGAGTCTGTTCCTCTTCAGTGTTTGAGAAGCCTGACATGTTGTTGGAGCGCTTCTTTCCTACAGCATCAATCTCATCTATGTAGACGATGCAAGGTGCCCGGGCACGGGCCTCCTTAAACAGACTCCGGACTCTGGCAGCGCCAAGACCTACACATAAGGAGAATATGACTCACATCAGACCTGAGGAGCAACATACAGTACAGAAACTACCAAACGGTATTTAAAGGCACTCATTGTGTAAATTCCTCTACTTTTTATCCTTTTCCTGTTCTGGAATTCCCGAATGCGATACTTCTTACAACAAAATTTGAGAAAAAAGTATATTATGTAGCCTTGTTCTATAGCCCAGTGTCATTTTTACCAACCCAAAGAGCACATTTACATTTACTATCTGTACTCACCCCCAATGACTTCCACAAACTCAGAACCAGCCATTGCTAGAAAAGGCACCTGGGCCTCTGTGGCTACAGCCTTAGCAAGCAGGGTCTTTCCACAACCGGGGGGCCCAAGCAGCAGTGAACCTTTAGGAACCTTGGCACCCAACTGCAGATATCGGTCTGGCATCTGTCAAGAAACACCATCATGGTCTGTGTAATTCAGTTTTTGCCTTTTAAATTTACATGGTAGATTCCAAAGGCTTTAGATGATTTATGGCTTTTGATCAGTTAAGTTCAATCCTGTCTTAGATTTATTAATCACATATTCTATGGAAAATGTACATATTTGAATATCAAAACGCATCCATGTCCACATGGTTTCTCACCTTGAGGTAGTCAACAAATTCCTTTACTTCAATCTTAGCCTCGTGCATGCCAGCCACATCTTTGAAACTCACACCTTTTCCCGATTTACCATCCACAATGGTGAACTTGGCCATTTTCAACTGATTCTGTTGAGTTGGTTATAATATACAATTAGCAATCAGAGGAGAACAACAAGCCTGCGCAGCAGCTGTGGCTCATTGTGAGTTACTCACAAAAGCACTGAAGCCCCCCTCTCTGCCACCCATGCCTGCAAGTCGAAAGATATACCAAAGAATAGCCACGCCGATAGCAGCCATCCCCAGAGCATATACTGCACTGCAAAGAGAAAAAAAGAAAGCAGAACAATGATCAGACCCCTCAGTTCTTCAGAAATTTAATGTTAAGAGGAACAATGTGACACTATCCCAAAATGTGTTAAATGATCATTGGACGGTACATCCTTACACTCTATTTGAATACAACATCATGGTGTAACAAACTGCGAGTGGACTTAATTGGCAGCCCATGATTGACTTCTTTTAATGTCCACTCTTAGAATAAAAATAACTGTGTTCTTACTTTCCAAAGAATCCAGTGCGTTTGTATGACACTGGTATTCTGTCCTTTCCGTCAATGTTCAGCTCCTCCTCAGCTGCTCTCAGCTTCTCCTCGAATTTGTCAATGTTGGCAACCTGCATTCTGTACATGAGCGCCAGTCTCTGCAAAGCAGGAAACATTACAGGAAATGAAAGGGCGGCATGGTCATGTCAGCAGTTTGGATAACATCACACACTCCTTACCGGCCTTCCAAAGATAACTGCTCCTGGGTGAAGGTAGATTTCAACGATATCACTCTCTGGAACGACCTGCACGCGCGACACCTCTCCCTTCGCCAACATCTCGTTGACAAAGTCATTCCAGGAGATGTTACCGCCACTGGTATTAATGGAGTTTAGCAGGCTCATGATTAGTGCAATGATGAAGAGGGTCCGCAGTCGCTCCCGGTACAGCTGATCCTCCTGCTCGCGGCGTTTCTTCTCCTCTGAAAGTCAGGCAGACACCCAACAAACAGAATGAGATTAATCAATCACGGCAACAGCCAGATGTGGTGCAGTTTGCTGATGTTTTTTAAACAGCAAGACCTAGCTAAAGTGGTTTCCCCTCATACCTTCATCTTCTTGTGGAGTTTTTCCCTTTGGATCACTACTTTTATTCTTCTGTTGCTTAGACTGGGTTGTGCTGAAAAAGTTTATTGCTCCTGAAATTAAAAAGAGATTGTCCACACACTGTGATTATAGATAAATACAAAGAAATATGGGGATATGATTACACCAAAGTAAAAGAGTTTACCTAACAGATTAGCTAAACCAACAGGATTCCTCAGCAGGTTGTTTCTGATCAGCTCCTTACTAATTCCCACCATGCAAGGACCCAAAGGTCTGTGGAGAAGACTCTACAAAGGTACAAGAATGGGGCAAAACAGAGTAACTGTAATATCAGGCACGTTACATCATAATTATCGGTCAATCCAGTCATGGCTGTGAGTAGGAAACTACAATGCTATTATAGAATGGGGTCAGACTGGTATGGAAATCATACTCAATTAAACTGCCTTCGGGATACGTTTATTCTGATACATTTTACAAACACAGAACATCACGGAAGGTTTCCCTAACGAGATATTACAAAAGAACATGATGTGCAATTCAATTTGGACAACAGCTTACACTACCATGTAGCTTCAACCTCTGGCCTACCTGAATGACTTTCTTCGGTGGCTGCCCCGTGAAAGTCCGTTCTGAACTGGATAGAAGCGTCCTGCTAACATTTGCAGACTTAGCCAGCACATTTTTACCACTATAACTAGACGTGAGTTTGTTCGCAAATAAGTGGGTACTTCGCTTTGATAGCGCCCACAGTACACATCTGTTGTATTTCCTACAAATGTCGGCAGTGTGCTGCAGCAGTAACGCTGACATGGTGTCAATTACGAGTCAAACTTATCATAAACTAAACCGTCTTAACGCCATTAGAATTACTCCAGAAGTACACTAAGCGTTAATAGACGTTTGTTTACCACAACCTCTGCTCAGAGCTAGCATCATGGTTTGTTATTCAACCGATGTCATTTTCCTTTGTTGGTTTTTACTAAAGGCACTCAGCTCATTTGCACTTCATCGCCACCTACTGGACGGTGTCTGTATTACATGGAAAATCCTGCTACGAATGACCTCATTTATCTGGCTCAGGAGAGTATTTCCATTAAATAATAATTTAGCAGTGCTTTAAACAATTAAAAATTATTCATTTAGAACGTTTACCAACATGGAAACACAGCAACATTTGGTTTACTTTATTATTAATTTGCTTTTTAAACTGCACCGCTAATTGAGCTTATACCCTGACTTAAACACTACTGCATTATCGATAAGATAAATAAAGTGTGATTCCTGATTAAGAAATAAAATATCTAAATCCGTATTTACAATTTTCAACCATGACCTTTCTTTTGAACCTGATAAATAATAAATAAAACATTACGGCCAACATGACAATAATATGGAAGCAAAGTAATACTTTTAAAAGTATTGTAACGATTACTGAATAAATTGAGAACTTTTGAATATTCCCCAACTTTTTTGTTTTTGTATTATGCCAACATATGACACTTTCTTTTCAACGTTTGAAGAAGGAACAAAAACACCTAGTCTTTTTCCTCTTTTGGCCCTTTTGAACTCCAGCAGAGGGTGCCATAGCTTAAGGTAATTAACGGCCCTACCATTAGTTGGACTTTGAATTATTTGCACGTTTTGTTTGCGAACTAATGATTAATTATTAGACCAATTTTTTTCCCTTTATATCATGTCATATCTAAACCATATAAATGTGTCAATAAACAATTTAATAATGTCTCCATCTTCTTTCTTACTTGAAGCGGCGCCAGAAGGTTAATTTCAGTCCTAAAGAGTTTCGTAAATAAAAAAAACAAAAGAGAAGAAAAGCACATGCAGACTGCCGGGTGTCATTTCCCCCTGGTAAACAATCACAGTACCGCCGTAGTCAAATGCGACGTGTACAGGTCAGTTTGATGGGCATATGAAATAAGCCAATAAGAGCAGACATATTTTCTTTTAGCCAATAGAAACCTTCGTTTCATCATCTCGGTCGCTTATTTTGTTCGTTGACGTTTTAACTATAAACACCAGGAACACCGAGTTTTTGCTAAATTAATTATGAACCACCTCTCTTCTTAGTGAAAAATTCCCATCCATTAAGAGCTAAACCGCACGTTTTCTAGTCTCCGTACTCATACGAAAGAGTTACTGTAATTTAATGATTTTATAAGAATGCCTCATTTAACAGCTGTTAAAGTGTGTAGGGGGACTAATCTTCAAGAAGTCAGGATTTAGGAAATACAACAGAAACACAAGAATAGATGTTTCTTGGCATGTTGAAAAAGAGGGCACCCAAAGCAAAGCATGAACTCCATTTCCTTTTCTTGGTCCTCCAACTATATAATGGAGTGTGGTGTCTTACGTTTGAAACTGTGATGCGTAAACAGCCACGTTGGAGCCCTGCACCAGTTCGCTACGGTTGGACCTTTGCATCTTTCGCGGATCCAAAATGGCGTACATTTCCTAATGCACCGAAGAGGTGTCCGCCTACACTGCAAGAGCCAATCAGAACTGTTGTTGCATCCCGGATGCGTTTCCGTCCCGAGCGTCTACTCACTGAAGTCAAAGGCCGCTCGAAAACCGCTCGAATGGGCTGGCGGAGAGGATTAAAGCGAAACAAAAATATGATATTTTGATGGTCTACGACTACCTGGGCAAGCCCACCGTTATGCAGATGGACCCGTAAATAATCTTAGTTCGTGGTGAAGGTGAAATAGCTACGCTGTAAGCATTCTTTCGTGGATATTTTAGGGTTTTGTCCGTGGACGTCTGTTTGTTGCTCTACACGGTTTTAACAAGCTAGCGTTAGCTTCGATTCTGGTGAGCTGATTTTTGCTGCAATGGTCGCCGCGACTTCGTGCGGATGTCTCCGGACTTTATATTGAACGGACGGCATCAAATGGGACCATCCAGCATCGGCCGAAAACATTGCGGCGTAGACTAAATACTTAAGATTGAGCTAACTAATTGAATTCGTGGGAATTCAGACAGAGGTAAGGCTCATGTTACGCGTCCTGCATGGCCAACATGTTCACAACAACAAACTGACTCCTGCTGCTACCATGGTCAACTCATGTTGTTGTGTTGCGACGATGGTCAGTTTTTCGAATCTTTAGGCTGAGGAAACACGAACGTGTGTGAATGCGAATACGCTGCCTCATGGTTATATAATAGCTTGCTTTTGTATTTTCCATTACAATCGCACAGCCTTGCTTCTTGCTTCACGCACCTTTTCTGTGGTGAATGTTACCTGGGTTTGTGCTCAAGAAATGCCCAACATTGTGGTGCTCATTCAGAGATATGCAATGTTTTAAGCTGCGTTTGTTAATTGGGTTTAACTTTGATCAGTCAGTAGTTATATCTGATGGGACACTCAGTATGTTGACGCTTTACAATCAGATTTAAACCTTTTTAGTTAGGTGTCGTGATGCATGCTTCGCCTCACGGTTGTGAAGGCTTTGGTTGGTGTCGTGTATATGCTTGTTTTGAATATAGGAATGAATGGTTTCTCCCTCGTTATCTCACAGCACATTTTCAGGGTTATGATGCATTTATATCGCAGCTGCAGACTAAGTTCTCTGGCTTCCTATATTCCCAGACAATAATTAACACATTTCCCATGGAAATGCATTTATTATTTAAATGTTGCCCTATTTTTTTTGCTCTCTTGGCTAACGAACTATTAGTTTACCTGCTTTTCCTGTTGGGTGTGCACAGTGTGGCACATTTCTGGTATAAAGCCCAGTCTTGTTCATTTGCTCCCTTGTTTCCAGACCAAAGTGAAATGGGTGTGCTTCAGGGCAGTCTTTAAGGTGAGCAGTGAATTGGATTGGCAGGGCTAAAACCAATGAAGGAAATCAATGGTCTTTGTAGAGCTAGTTAAATGCTATCTGGGATTATCTGTTCCTGTCTGTGCACAGTTAGCAGCCTTACAGTGGAGTGTATTGATGAGCAAACGGATGAGTACGTTCGGAGGATTGCGTGCTTTCTGTGTGGAATAACACGAAAAAGAGGGCCACAACATGGGGGGATCTGAAGTGATGTGAAGTATAAAATGAGTGTGGAGGAGAAGCTTGCCACTGTGGTGCAGCAGCGGTGAGGAGCAAAACACTGCAGTGCCGCTGGTGGTGTTTTCCACCAAGACTCTGAGTGTGTTTTAGCTTGTGGAGGTGTTGCTGTTGACTACACTGCAGAGGTAGTGATGCATATCTCTGTCTCCTTTCAACTTGCGAAGGTCTTATTTGTCTGCGTTATAGTCAAAGCCCTGATGTGGTTGTTGTCACATGATCTGTCTGATTACAGTGGCAACCTTATGTTTTAGTAAAATCATGTCTGTTATGCTTCCTTATATCGGCGTGTTTATTTTATTAGATTTTGTGCTCGCACAATACGTGCAGGTATTGGGTTGCATGTAGTTTAAATACCTTTGGTTTGAGTTGAGCTGAATGCGGCCATGCTACCCGACTCCCCGTGAACTGTTGAGCTCCATCCGGTCGCCATTAGTGCTGGTGAGATTTTGCTCCTGTTCCCATAAGTGGTACCAGAGAGTCAAGGCTATACCCTCTGACGGCAACAGGAAATGCAGTTCTGCAGGGGTTAGAAAGGCCATGAGCCCGAGAAAGAAAGGCCGGAAACACTTCTGCTCTTCTACTGACGATCTGTGGACTCGCATCTCTTGAGCTCCATTAATTGGCTGTTGTTGCACATGTGGAAAATCTACCAACCTGTGTCCACCACAGTTAATCCACTCCTAGGTTGTAAACATTTCTCCTCATCCGCTCTCACATGTCAGGGCCCTTCAGAGGACTTATCTTTATGGTTTGAAGTATCACACTTTTTAACTGATGGGAAGGTGGGGGAAGTCCACGGTGATGAAACATAACAAATATATTGCAAGTGAAAGCATGAGAACAAGACTATCCGGCTTACTGTTGCCTTTGAGTGGCTTGACAGTATTTGTTGTTATGCAGAACTAGATCATTAGTGTGAGCAAGTCTAGAGTTAGCCTGTCAGATTTTCTGAATGACTCACTATGTGCGCGTATCGATTAATATGAGCTCTGAACCAAAATGAATAGAATAGATGCCATAAAAGATGTGAAGAGTGTACATGGTTCTTAAAGGAGGAGTGGGGGGGGGGGGGTGTTGTTTTGAAGAGCTCTGCAGCAGTTGCATAGCAGACGCATACCGGAATAGAATGATTAAAATATTCAACACCTTGCATTTTTACATTGAAATAGATTAAGACACAGATTAAACTACCGAAAGGGCCAGTGGATCCAGCAAATCATTTGCATAGCTCATTGCCATTTGAACTGTGTATGTGTGTCTCTGTGGCACTCGTGGGTAATTTCTTGATTTTTTAATATATGATTTGTCACAACAGGTTAATCAATATTTAGGAAACGATCAAACAAACATTTGTTTTTAATGACCCCCGTAAGTTAAATATCTTTGAGGCCAAGTTCTATTAAATTCTAATGTAATGCATTGATATTTTGGGGCTGCTTTGGGTTTATAAATATGTCCTGAGAATTAAAGGAATAGTTTTATTTGATATAATTATTTCAGATCAACATGGTAGTGTCGGTCTTATTGATTTTCAGAAAATAAAAAAATAGAATGAGGGCTTCATACCAAATTACAGTGACGTTTACATGAATTTGCAGAATGGGGAATGTATTTCCAACATGATAAACCGTGTGTGGTTGACTTTTCTTTTAATATTTCCTCCAGAAGTAGCCATTCTGACATATCTGTGTTACTTTACAGCAGAACTGTGTGTCAGCTTCTAAAACAACTGGC